TGAAGGTGATCGGAAGGTAGTTCAACGCCGTCTATCAGCAAGAACGCAAATTTTCTTGCTTTCAAAAGAACTCCAAGTTCAAAACATGAATTTTAATTTCAAACATGAAACTTAATTAATAACATGAATTTGCATCATCATACAATAACTAGTTCACGTTAAATGAATTTTTAAAACGTTTAGTGACTTCTGATGTAACCTCTATATTTATACTAATTCTGTATAAAACTGAAAGCAGTCATTAAGTCTGTTAAACTTCGGAATTTCATTTTAAACAATAAATTCTATTAAGCTCTCAGTCCTTTTAAACGATATAAATTTCACTTTAACATTTCTTTTTCAGTATTTTCATCATATGCGCAGTTCTGCTTGAGAGTCATTTATAACTGTAGATCTGCGTAATAAGGTTAAAATTTTATAGTCGCTGTAACAACAAAAGAAAGAATTTTAGGCGATTTTTTTTAACCAAAAAAAAAGTTTTGAACGTGAAATTTTCCTAGCTAAGAATTTAAGCGAACTGCTCTAATAAGCGATAAAATCATGGATATTGATGCATTTGCTCCTTTTTATGTCTTATTGCCTTTTTTTACATGCTGTCTAAATAAACCAAGGTGTAATGCTTAATTTAAATTCATTAAAACGAAAAAAACACATTTCCCACACATGCTGTTGAGGAAAGTAATTTGTATAAACTGATTAATTTAAAAGTACTCAGACGGATATTTTTCCAATTAAGTAACTTCTTTTTGTCTATCATTTCTTGCTTGCCTAGTTCATCCATTAAACAGCCGCTTGAATGGTTTGAGATGCGCTTAATGAACAAATTCTCATATAAGTTTAGAATCAAATATAAATAAAACGTCCATTCTAATACATCCATGTCCAGAACTACGATTAAAGAATGAAACGGAAAACAAAACCTTGCCTTATTTCTTCATGCTAAACTCCCCAATCACTGGTATACAATAATAAAAAAGATTCTTAAACATTGCTGTAATGTAATACGCTTAGTAAAATTGGCTTAATCAAGTTAATAGCACTGGCAAATAACGTGACTTTTAACTGAAAGCTGTTATAAAGTAATGTAAATCTATTTACATGATGGACCCGATTTCCAGATGAGCATAATTCCGTATGTATTAGTAATAGCGTACTGATTTTTTATAGGCAAAATGGAAAGGTAAATCCCGAAATATTAAAATGTCCTGTTCTTTTAATGGAATGCTTCTTTGGCTCTTCAGTATTAAATAAGAAGCTTAGGGTTCTGAATACTTAATGTTCTCTTGCTTACTTAATTGATGACCAAATCAAAGCTGTGATCTCTTCCTTTGAAATTTTGTTAAAGATGTTGTGTTTCTTTGATTATCTGTACATAAACCTACGTGATATCAAAAACTGCGTTATTACTGCTGAGGAAACGGTAACAAAGGACTTGTCTATATTGATCTGAATTAATTTGAATTCATGATTATTTTTTAAACTTAAACAAAGGCTTATAAACTCTATTAATAACATCGAAAAAACTCAGAACCATGAAAATATTAAAATTGAATACTGATTATAAAAAAATAAACCGATAAGTTAGTTCGAATTCTTAATTTTTTAGATGTAAAGTGTTCGACAAAATCTATCTATCTTGAAATCTTGATTCTATCTTCAATATACCTTTAAAATCGAGTTTAAGCTCAATAAATAACATCCGCTTTGAATTACTCATAATTTTATGAATGACTATTAAATATATGAAAAACTTTAAAATTATTACGCAGACATCTACCTACGCAATAAATAATTAATTATTACTACAAGAAAAATAATTACCCTACAGGAAAAACTAAGGTTTAGTATATTATTGCAACTTTAAGAAGAATATTTATAAGAGAAAAAAAAAAAAAAAAAGGGGGAAGCTGGGCATCTGTTATACTGTTAATATTAGCAATAACCAAGTAATTGTCAGAAAGCATTGCGAGTTTCTAATTTAATTAATATTCCTTACAAGCCTAAAAGAGTCACTTGATCTCTGACTTACAGTCAATATTTTATGGCCAGTTCATGAGCATTTTATTTCAGCAAAAGTAATTACTGAATACCCGTAAATACGCATGGGTCCTCAGTTTTGCTTTCTATCTCAACTGCGCAGTAACTGAAATTGAATTACAAGTACTGAGCAACACAATTTAATTATCTACGAGGTGAAGATAAGATATTTAACGTATTTACATATCATCTCCTTAAATGCACAAATGAGCAAGAATTACATACAGGTAATAAACAAGCTTCTCATCAATTCCAGTTTCAACAAATTATTCAAGAAATCAATGTCAAACCAGCATAACAAATAATTAGTCGCAGATTTTAAATAAGAAATAAAACGCACTGCAACTCCTCTTTTTACTTGTACTTATCCCATTGCTTTCACCGAAGACCTTCATTTCCTATTTTCATCTTTTCTATTCTGGAAGGTTCGAAATTTTATTCTGAAATGCACTATAGTAAAATGAAGGTGAAATCGCATGCATCTCTTTAGTTATTCGACGTTTGTGGAAATCACTTCTGTCTGACTGGCGAGAGTAGCTGTCTAATCCGTCTGAGGGAAAGTGGATGGGTATACTGAGTTATTAATGGTCGACGTGACAGACAATCAGCTATTTCGCAAGTACTCTATGTAACGTTTACTGGAGCTGAGAAGGATTGATGGCCTCCCGCAGTAACTATCCCTTCGTTTCGAAAGCTACTTGATGGAGTAACCTGCGAGGCATTACCTGACAAAGCGGAAAATCCTCAGAAGTCATTCAAAACAATCATTTTACATAATCTAACGCCGACTGAAAGTTTCAGCCCAACTTTGAGCTTTCGGCATAAAACTTTATCATTATTATCCTCTAATTGCGAATAAATTAAATTAGTAAGAATGATAAGATTGAAAATGTCATAAATATAGAGCTGATAATTTGCCATAAGCCATCGCGCATAATGACGTGTGTTCATATTTTTTTTCTCTAGCTGCATAATTTATTATAAAATACCAAGATGTATTATTCCTGTTGACATTGATAACAGCAATCTAACTTTAACCAAATTTATTTTTCTAACCGAAATATTTTTTAAAGCGAAAATTGAATTTAACGTATGGCTTGTTTTCTCATTCACACAACAAACTCATCATTTATTTAAAATAATGCGTATTTTCGGAACGCATTATTAGCCTCTTCTAAAGCTAGGCGTCTTCCTTGATACATAAGAAATTTCATATTTCATAAAATATGACATAATCAGGGTTGAAATCTTCTTTTGATAGGAACAATTATCCGCCTTTCGTGAACTGAAGCCCTAACTGCAGTTGAGTCTTCATTTAACTGCTGAAATATATTATAAGGTATTTTCTCCTTCCTTTTTCGCATGCCTTCGTGGCCTAATTGGAAGCACAGAGATTCGAGAGATTCAGAGTTCGGGTCTCAGTGAGGGCATTGCACATTTTTTACCTTTTTACATATAACTTAATGACTTAATAACTCTACAACACTGGATTTTTTTTTTATTTTATTGCTTAATATTTTGATTTTAAAAGATTAAAAGCAATATGTAATCTCAGCATTTACCATTAATAAATAAGTAATACTTTTGACAATGCTTGAAAAGTCTCTCTTAGAATTTATCGTCTTGTTATTGAAGGTTGAAGCAATCTCGTATTACGATAAAATCATGAATATTGATGCATTTGCTACTTTTTATGTCTTATTGCCTTTTTTACATGCTGTCTAAATAAACCAAGGTGTAACGCTTAATTTAAATTCATTAAAAGGAAAAAAAACACATTTCCCACACATGCTGTTGAGGAAAGTAATTTGTATAAACTGATTAATTTAAAAGTACTCAGACGGATATTTTTCCAATTAAGTAACTTCTTTTTGATCATTTCTTGCTTGCCTAGTTCACCCATTAAACAGCCGCTTGAATGGTTTGAGATGCGCTTAATGAACAAATTCTCATATAAGTTTAGAATCAAATATAAATAAAACGTCCATTCTAATACATCCATGTCCAGAACTACGATTAAAGAATGAAACGGAAAACAAAATCTTGCCTTATTTCTTCATGCTAAACTTCCCAATCACTGGTATACAATAATAAAAAAGATTCTTAAACATTGCTGTAATGTAATACGCTTAGTAAAATTGGCTTAATCAAGTTAATAGCACTGGCAAATAACGTGACTTTTAACTGAAAGCTGTTATAAAGTAATGTAAATCTATTTACATGATGGACCCGATTTCCAGATGAGCATAATTCCGTATGTATTAGTAATAGCGTACTGATTTTTTATAGACAAAATGGAAAGGTAAATCCCGAAATATTAAAATGTCCTGTTCTTTTAATGGAATGCTTCTTTGGCTCTTCAGTATTAAATAAGAAGCTTAGGGATCTGAATACTTAACGTTCTCTTGCTTACTTAATTGATGACCAAATCAAAGCTGTGATCTCTTCCTTTGAAATTTTGTTAAAGATGTTGTGTTTCTTTGATTATCTGTACATAAACCTACGTGATATCAAAAACTGCGTTATTACTGCTGAGGAAATGGTAACAAAGGACTTGTCTTAGGAAGTATGGCATGATCCAATTTAATTTAGTTAATTTAATTAGATCATCATCTTACATAACGTAATTCTGTGCGTCTAATGAAGTCTCATGCTGAACAGTAAAAAACATTTGGCTGGTGTGTTCCCTACATTTCAAGGAGTACTAGTCAATCTGTATCCATAAAATAAAAAAAAAACCTCTTTTACATCCAGTCATGCTAAATAACGCTATATTGTTTATCTTATATTCATTATATTTTATTTTATCAGATTTATAAATATATTCCGGGTTGCTTTTAGCATAATTTAAGCATAAATAAAAAAAAACAATGAAAGTCTTTCAGAACATCCATTTTTTTCGTAAAAAATGTAGGAAAGCTCCATCCTCGAACACTATAATTGATTACTTTTTTCTCTTTCAGTCAGTATCGTCATCACCCAGGATTACCAACTACTAAGATAATGCTGGCTCCTGAACCTCCAGGGCTTCCTCCTTTAGAGGTGAGAGTGTTACACTTAAATACTTATAACTTAACTTTTAATGCATAGAACATTTTGATCGTCTCTAAAAGGTTTTACTTATTTTTTTATTCATATATTTATATCCTTTTAACTTCAAATGTTTTTTCCCTTTGATTATACCCCTAAGCTCTAAAGTGAAAATTCACTTCAACATAACAAAACTTAATATAATAAAAAATAAAATAATATTTAGGGATACTTATATTCGTAGATGATTTGATGGTTCCGTGCTTTCGAAAAAGAACTAACTTCAATAACTTACTTCTCTTAGGATTAAACTACTAAGAAATGAAACTCGTAACAGTTCATATATGATTGCGAAGCTATCTAGGCTCTCCTCTCATCCAGCTGAGAAAACAGCTTATAATATGGCTTCGTCGCATGACCGCTCCTTCAGTCGCTAGATCTATCTTATCAGCAGAGGAGAATTTCAGAAATCGACGACGTTGTTATGCAGAAGCGCCTGGAGTCTTCCTGTGTACACACAGCGAACTACCGAGAGAGAACTAAACTATCTCGGCCCAGTTTGACATTCGATACGTTTGGGCTCACCGGCTGTTTCTGAAAATAAAGAGCTCGTCACCCGCCATGTTGAGGTGGACTGACCATGGAGGAAGAAAAGACCTACGTACATGCAGCCGAGAAAGATAATGCTTCGAGGAAGAAGCAGTTTTTTATTTTCACTCCTGTTAACTAAGATAACTGTGGGTCTTCTTCGTATAAGGCAGTAGACGAAAAGCTCTCATAACAAGGATAAAACAATACAATAGCTCGAAGCCTTACCAGCCTCAACTTGATCCCGGGCAACTACTACATATAAGCAGAAAAGAAGGAGTTGTGTCCCAAAGCCTTTGCTGACCTCGTCTCAACAGATCGATCATCTCAACTCTGTATGGATAGAATAATGAAATCTATTGATCCGTTTTTCTAGCCATATAGAGTTTAACCTACGCTGAATCTGTCCGGAGGGATCATAACTAGGAACCCGGTTCGTGTTTAGTATACACCAGAACGACTTTCGCCAAGAATTTATTACTTAGCCGCAACTATCTCGTATCTGCAGCAGGGAAAATATTCATGTAGTCAGTTCGAATTGTTAAGGATACGAAGAAAACTTTCACCAAGCTAGCAGTCTGAGAATAACAAGTCTGACAATTACAATTAAGCCAACAGCATTCGTGTGCTTTGCTAAATCTAATTAATCCAAACTCTTTTTTCAAGCGGAAATAACAATATTTGACAATCTTCAAGCTATTATCCAAAGAAGCTATTACCCATATTATATCCACAGAAGCTACTACCCATATTATATCCACAGAAGCTATTACCCATATTATATCCACAGAAGCCATTTTGCTGTATTGATTTATTGACCTGTGTATTCATTCGAGATAACTTCACTGAAAAAAAAAATGGATGCATTTGCAATGGGTTTGGAGTTATTATGTTACAGCAAAGCACACCAATGCTATCTGCCTGAGAGAAGGTGATTCCCAACCACCGTGCCGCGGCACTTTTGTGTGCCGCCAAATTTTAGAAATGGGTTTAATTTTAGAAATGGGTTATAATGGGTTTAATTCTAATATACGGTACACATGATAATGGGCGAAATTCGGTTTTTAAGACATTAATAAGCGTGGTATCCAATTGTGGTATCCAAGCCGATTTTGATGACGAAGACTCCTGTATACTTTTTCCTGTATACTGTTTACCTTGAACGATGAGGAAGAACTAATTTCGCTTTCTAATAATCGATATTTAATTTTAAACTATTAGGAAGAGTCAATTAATTTCTTTTGGATTATCATTAGATGCGATTATCACATGATGGCCAAAAAAGGCCTTAAAAATATTATTACAGTTTTCTACATCTTATTTATGTGAATTCGCATTTCCAGTATTAACCAACATGAAAACGAAAAAAAGATGGAGACTGTTAAATGTAGAAGACGATATGAGAGTAGCATTGTCATTTTTACTACCAAACATAAATGAAATTAGCAAAAACATCAAGCTCAAATGTCTCATTAAATGTATTCTTATTATTAACTTGTAATTAATCCTTTAATAAACGTATTGATGTTTTTGAGGTACATATTATTTTATTTTACATTCAAAATTATTATCATAAACTATTTTACACAGTGTATATTATATTTAAGTAAACAACTTTTAAACTTATCTTTTTCTTTGTGTGCCGCCAAATTTTGAAATCGTTAAAAGTGTGCCGCGACAAAAAAAAAAAAAAAAAAAAAAAAAAGGTTGAGAATCACTGCTCTAAGCAGATACCCCAGTGTGGTTTGCCGAGTTCAAGTAACCTGACCTAGTCTCTGATTGTTGGAAAGTGGATAATAGCTACTACTGAATATGAACATTTTTAGGTTAATCATAAATACGACTTTATTAACCCTGATATTAGATGCCATATACAAATTGTTGAAAGTTTGTACGGGGTGCAAAATGACAAAAAATTCGTCAGCGCGAAACTGCTCGTCACCACCTATTTAATTGCATAAAATACAAAAAGTAACGGCAGTATTAAATGAAATCGGTATCTTTATACCTCCTGTGAAATTTGAAATTAATATGATAAAATACGTACATCATATACTTTTCTTATTCGTGAATTTTTCTATTTGTCTTTCATTATTATTATCATTTATTTTGGATTTCATAAAATGTTCCTTCTTTTCATGGAGCTACGTATAGCTTTAGGAAGGCTATCTAGTTAGATTTCGCTCCGATATATACGTTTGGCTTGAAGCGGAGCCCTTTAACCAGAAAGTGCCATTTCTTTTATACAATCATTTGCAATTAAAAATAGAAAGAAAGAAGAAAGAAAGAAAGAGAAAGATAACGGAAAAATAGTTAACCATTACAAATTATGTAACATCAAAAATCAATTGCAATACCTAACATCAAAAATATACAACGTTTAAAACTACAATCATTTAAAATTAATATTTCATAATTTAGCATTTGCTTACTTGCGCAAAGTTTGCGAAAATATTTGGGGATCGAAATAAAGATTACTGAAAACTTATGTTCCAATATTATATATTTATTAAAAAATTTCTAATAAGTTAAAATTAAATTCATAATCTATTCCTGCCAAACAGGTTATGATTTAGTTTCTTGAAATTTTGCATTATTATGTATAGAACTGTATGTTGCATTATTCCGTGAACCTTATTCTAACGTATAGGATATAAATATGATACACAGACGTGGCATCAAATGTCTTCAGGTTAATACCTCAAGCAGATGACACTCCCAGCGGCGCACAATATAATATAAATTACTTATGTCACAGTGCAAGTAATATAAATACATTTAATCACACAATAATTTAGATTCGTGTAAAAAATAGCTGGTATTCTGATTCCCGTAGCATCATAGAAGTTACATATAATTATATAGATATAGTAGAAACTGCAGACAATTATACTGAAGCGACATGAATTTTAAAATTTATTAGCTCCTTAACGAATATGAAGATATAACGGAAAGGCGAATCTTATCAAAAATGAAGCTACATACGTATAAACAGAATCACCTTAGCAGAAGTCATCCCCAAATTTTCAGACTGTGCTAAACTTTAATAACCACGTTCATAAAAATTTTTCAGCTTTAAAAAGCAATTTCACTATTTTCCCAACCGTTCTTTTCGTTATGTTTCAGATTCCAACAGTTTTATAAATAAATCGTGATAATTTTTTTGTCTTAAACTCAGTTTTAAAATGCCAGCTTATGGGATTTGCTAGTAGGAGAATAAACTGCTGTAAAACTTTTGCAAGAAAAAAAATATTTTGCCATAAATCAATGCAAGGAACAATTGTTTTGAATCCTTTCTTATTTCTACCAAAATAAAAGGGAAAAAATACTGTATATGTAGGTTCGTATATGTATCTTGTATGTTAATTGATTTTCGGTATTAACACCTAATAAAAACATAAAATGCGTATAAAATAATATGTATGTATTTATGTAATAAATAATATTTGGCAATTATATCCCATCGCTCTTTTCCTTCCGAAAATAATCGGCAAAGTGATTGTGCAAATACGTAAATACCAAAATAGTTTCTCGGTGTTCATGTACTTAACATCAAATTAAACAATTTTAATTCCCTGCAAGATTTAGTTTGCTTTAACTATCAAGTAAGTTTAATCTCCAGAATTTTTTAACTTGATGAGAGTTTCGATTATTCTAGGACCCAAAAGAAGTGAGATGTAGTGTTAACAGCGCTAACTACTGAACGATGGGTTAAAAATTATCAACGAGTGTTGATTAAATAAGTCTTCCCTTTGTATTTTTCAAATAACTCTTAGCAAATTTCTTGAAATTTAATCTCAGTCTAAAGCTTAAATACCTTTTCAATTAAGACTGGAATTTTTGTAATATCATAAGAACAACATTTGGCAGTATCAGATAGTAATGACAGCGAATAAGATTTATAAAGCACATTGCAAAACTCAACCTCTGTAATGTAACGAAACTGATTCCAATAAAGTATGTTACACATAAAAATCAGTTTAATACAGTTTATGAACGCAAAGCACACGACGCCTGCCTGCCTAAGAAGGGGGGATGTCTTCGTGGAGGACAAGGAATGTCTTCACACATTGAACTCCCAATTTTTATGAAAAAATATGTTTGAATCTACTCATATAGAAACACATAACAATAAAAGAACTGGCTTCTAATATTATACAGGTAAAGAGTTAAAATATTTTTTAAAATAACGAAATTTGACAATAGAGCTCTATTTGGCAACATCCAAAATTTTCAAAAATTCTGCTTTCAAAATTTGGAATGTCGCTGAGGTTATCGAGTCTTATAACAAAACTATAAAATATTGAAAAGAGATAACATGCAAAAGATATATATTTTGATACTCAACACATGGAAATTTAAAATGAAAAGTTAAACAGAAGTAATGAAAATTTAATCTTCGAAACATTAAGTCCGAGTTACAA